CCAAACCCTGTGGAAGCAAGAGTCGCTGCCTCGTTCCCATGGAAGCCCACGCTGCTGAGAACAGTTGACGCGTACGCCAAAATATTGGGCTGTCCCGTAGCCTGCTGCAAGAAAACCAGCGCAGCGCCAACAAGTAGCCTCTGAAGCATGTTGTCACGGGAACGGAAGAGGTCCAGGAAGCCGTGCTGCGCTCCGCCCCCAGTGCCATGCGAATCGCCTGAAGTTCGTCCTCCACCGCGTCTACCCCTTCGATCCCAGCGCGGAGACGGAGGAGAGTGGCGTGAGCCTCTTTCCCACGCTGTTGGGCGAGCAAAAAGCGCGGACTCTGCGGCAACAGCGGCATGATGCTGGCTTGCAGCAAGGCAGGGAGCAGCACACCAGCGAACGTAAACCTCCATCCATCCGGGACACCTGCGAACGCCCAACTCAGTCCAAAACCCAACAGCATCCCTAAAACTACCATTAACTCATACACACACACGCACCGTCCACGCCAGGTGGCCGGTGCCACTTCCGCCGCATACAGGCAAGACGCTGTGCCTGACAGCGCTACCGCCATGCCGACCAACATCCGCCCGACAACTAGCGCCCAAAATGACACCACACACACACACAGAAGCGTGCCCAGCACACACAGCAGCGCTGTGAGGATGATAGAGAACCGCCGTCCGTAACGGTCCAGGATGGTGCCGCCACCCAGAGAGAGGAGGAAAGCTCCAAACAGAAGAGACCCAACGACTTGCTCTTGCTCCGGGCAGGAGAGAGTCAAAGCATCCCTGAGTTGAAGCAAAGCTCCTGATATCAGACTCATCTCATAACCCATCATCAACCCACTCAGGCAGGCCACAGACACGGAACACAACACCAGCGCTGCACCATTACCTGCAGAGAGACAGAGAGAGGAGGATCTTTGAAAAAGATTGCACTGACAGGTACAATATACATATGCATTAATACATTAATATGACTCTACATTACTACATAGATTCAACAGTGCCAGTATACAATCAAAATAAAGCCATGAATATGGAATGTTACAGTATTTCACAAAAATCATCATCATCACATGATCCCATGGCTTTCGTTTATGAGTTTTGTTTCATAATGAAAGCATATGAATTGCTTTATTGCGGACTCTATAATCATTCTGGATGAATGCACACTAATCTCATATAATTAGCTACAATATAACTATCAAACTGTAATTATTTGATATATGACTGATTGATTACAAAATCACAGCTGTAAAATATGTACAGTAACAATGGGGTTCCATTAGTTATTATTTTTTGGATTATATAACTGTTGCACAACTAAGTCAACATGTTCTATGTGCTTCTTATCATTTACAAACAAATTATGAAACTTGCATGAGAAAGATTTCTAATTCTAAAAGATTACCAAACAAATCATTAATATCAAAAGAACTGAAAATTTGCAAATTTCAAGAATGGATGTCAAGCATCCTGCCTATTTTGTCATGTACAGATCTGTTTTAGTAAAGTTTGAATGGATGCACAGACTTTGACATCAAAAACTAAAAACATTGGACATGTTTTATTTTCTCCTGTTAACTGTTATAAGGAATACTTACCTGATTTAGCAGATGGGCTTTTCTCTAGATGTATTAGTGTATCTGGACTCTGTAGAAATGTTTTGCTCTGGGGGTCAGAAGTCATTCTTATGGACTCTTCAGATGCTTCCATGTTCTTCCAGGGTTGTGGTGCAACTACAGTAGTATAAACCACAGTAAACATGAATAGGTTCTTAGTAAATAGTTGGTGATCATCAGCAATGAAAAAGGATACTGAGGAAACTAACTTAGCCATGATGACACATTCATAACACCAGAATCTTTTCAAATAGTTTGTCTCTTAGTAAAAAGATCTGCACTTAAATATATCTCTAATCAGCAAAAAAACAAACTACAGGAAGTTCATTCTGACTAACAAAGCCACCAATGAGAGCAGCACATCATACATTAAATAACTGAATTACTGCTCTTAACACATTTGTTACAGCATGTCCCAAACAGGAATGTACAGCCATTGACCATCTTGGATTTCTCAATGCCACTGCTCTGGGCACAGAATAGATCAACAAGTAAAAAAAACTCAATATCATTCAAACAGAGCGTTTGGCGTTACCTCTTTAATATCAAATATGGGGACTGCTGTCTATGAAATCATTGCAGCTCTTCGCATCTCTCCTCCCGGGTGGCAGGCAGTAACTTCAGTCCTTGTGTCGATACACGTTTCTTGTTTTGGAAGCGGTGACTTAAACTCCGCCTACATTAACCACTGCAAAAAACAGCGAGACTGAAAGTGTCAAGTAAGCAGAAGGTTGAAGAACTAAGCAGCTCTGACTGGTTTTTGTGTTAATAAAGGACCTATCATTACACTATGACATTCATTTCTTTACATAATAGTTTGAACTTAACGATGTGACGGTGGCCCGCACACATTACGAACGCATGTTGTCAGCAGCTGTTGCGGTGCCTGCCTGATTTTTTCCGGACTCGGAGTTCAATTCCTTTGGATTGAATCTTTTCCATGAATCACTGAACCGGTTCACAAACCCAAAATTCGCCATCGAAGCGAAGCTTCTTTGTATACAGGGGTTACCAGGGTAACGTTAACTGTTATATTTCTGCTGTTCCATAAACCTCTTTCTTGCATTTTCATTCAGTCCACAGTAAAATTCCTGCCATATTTTTTAAAGGCTGAAATAGCACGGTTTATTTATGTATTTATGCATTCATTTGCCAAAACCTGTAATTTAATTATAACTATGAGCTATTTAAATCGGAGCTTTTACAGCCCTTTCACGGCTTAGGGGGTTTCTTTTAGTTAGGCATTAATTTTATTTGCGCAGGTCCTAAATATCCTTCAATTTGATTTTAAAATCCCTGCAGAATCAGAGAACGTGGCGTGGCCTACAACATCTGCTGAACCTAGACAACATGCTTAGGCCTAACTAATGCAAAGTGAGTAAAACAGAACGCTTCCATATGGTTTCTGTTTGGTTATTTTGGGAACCACAAGGAACGTTCTCTAGGTTCTTTTTTTGTAACCATAAACTATATTATTCCCTAGTTTGTTAAAATTATGCTTAAAAACAAAACAAACTGATTTTTATTACGCCAGACCAACGCAATGTGCGTAAATGTTTAGCAGAATAGCAGCCAGAAATGTTATACGTATGGTTATGATGACTGGATTTTAATTACAGCTTTATCAACACGCAAGGTGTCAGGCCAAATTCTTACGTAATCGTCGAATTGGTTTCTTGAAACAGATTGTGTCGGACTTAACTGTGTATTTGAATAAGAAAGCTGACTGCATTTAAATTTCCTCAGTTGATTGACATATGAACAAGCAAGGGCTAGGCGTAGGCCTACGTGTAAACAATTCCGTGTTGGCTCCACCACAGCTGCTCTGCTCCTGCGTATCCCCCCAGTTTAGCCTATCGTAATCAGGGGCCAGTTGCATAAACGCAGCCTGTTACAAACTAGTAGGCGTACGAACAACTAGCTTCAGTATGTCTTACTTTTCAAATTCATGATCAAATTAGACTTGAAACAGTAATGACTAACTTGTAAGACTAGTTCAGCAGATTAAGCAACTGGCCCCAGGCTAAGACTAGTCCTACAACTTGTCATCACATTTTTTTCTTTAAGATCATTCATAACTGTTTCAAGTCAGTAATATAAAAACATAGATTGGCCATTTGATACTAGAAAGTTAGACTGATTGCCCCTTGCCCCATCTCTAGTTGGCTACTTAAGACACAGCCTAACATGATAGATATACCTGTGAGGGATCCACTGGAGGCAAGTTAGCGTGAGAACCCAAGTGCAGTTTATGCAAAGTTTATTAAAAACAAAGCATGACGTGGCATAACAAAAAAAATCTGTGGACTTAGAATCACACAACAAATGTTACAGGAAACAATACCTGACAAAGACATATGTCAAACATGAGGGCTTAAATACACAGACTAATGACAAGACAAGGGACACCTGTGAACAATGAACATACGATTAACCAATGACAAGACACATGGCAGGCTAGCATGACAAACAGAGAATCACATGACATGAACAAAACCAAAAATGTGACACCGGCCCACATAAGTTATTTAGCCTAGTCTTGAGGCAAATACTATTCTAGCAAATCAATGAAATTGATTAATCAAGTGGCCAAATTTACTTAAAATCACAACAGTTTTTATAATCTCATTACATAATTAATAGGTTATAATAATAATATCTAAACATATAATCCACCTATATGTATGATATAAATACATTCTGTTAAATCTGATTGAAAGTGGTTTGTGGTTTGGCATCAATCCAGCTGACATGTAATATGTCAGGCTGCTGTCACAGGTCAACTGAGTTCGAGTCATCAGTCACTGATGTCATTTGTTGTGTTGTGTGAGTTGGTGTGCTGAGTAGCAGCCAGTAGACAACGTACATATAGTGCTAATGAGTTCATAAGCCATGTTTTCTAGAAAAATAGCACCACCCTAGGCAGGTTAATCTGTCATTTCCAGAACAGCTTATCTTGATGATATAGGGCCATCTACTGGCCAGAGTACTGCAATTACCTGAAAGAGTGACAAGTTCAAAGGTTCAAACACAAGCACTACTCAGTTTGACTAGATGTTTTTTTCTTCCTTAAATTGATTAAGTGCATGTAAAAATCTTTACAAACCATTCCAATCATTGCCATTTAAAAAATAAATCAATACAAACTTCCCTACATGCTGGAAATCCAAAGAAAATGCAAACACATACAAAGTAATGGAAAGTAAACAGAAATAAAAAGTTTGTAGCCTGCATAATTTGGTGCATAGAATAACTTTATTATGTGTATATGCATGGATGAATCACATCAATCTTCAGATCATGCTTTAAAAGCAAATGTGGTCACTTTTTAAAAGTAACATTGGGGGGCGCTAGCAGACAAGAGATCTCAGATTGTAATCTATCTATCTATCTATCTATCTATCTATCTATCTATCTATCTATCTATCTATCTATCTATCTATCTATCTATCTATCTATCTATCTATCTATCTATCTATCTATCTATCTATCTATCATCTATCTATCTATCTATCTATCTATCTATCTATCTATCTATCTATCTATCTATCTATCTATCTATCTATCTATCTATTTAGCTAGCTATCTAGCTAGCTATTAAAAGCTATTACTTTTCCTTATCAAATTAGTCTACATTTTTATCTGATTTCAAAAAGTTATGGACAGTATTAAAGAAAACTCTGTAAATACAATGTAGATGATTTATTTTACTAGCTAGTAAAATAAATCATCTACATTGTATTTACAGAGTTTTCTTTAGTACTGTCCATATCTTTTTGAAATCAGTTAGATAAAATTGTAGACTAATTTGATATGGAAAAGTAAAAATGACTGCCCCATGACTAACTGCTAGTGGGTAATACTAGATCTTATGACTGTCTTACCATAATGTTTAAATGCAACTGACCCCTGACCATCCCACCAACAGGGACTTTAATGACACTGCATCCAAAATACATATTCATTACAGTAATTGGTCTTTATGGACATTGCTTTGTGCACTGGGGCAGTCCTGGTAGAAAACAGTCTTCACCAAGTCTTCCAAAATGACTTGGTATGCTGAAGCACTCAAAATTCCTTTCACCGGAAGTAAGGGTCCTATCCTAGCCCCTGAAAAACAGTCTCTCCACACCATGAACAGTGCAGTAAGACATGTAACGTTCTCTTGGCATCCGCCAAACCCAGACTCGCCCATCAGACCGCCAAACAGAGAAGCCTGAACATGTTTCCACTGCTCCAGAGTCCAGTGACTGTGTGCTTTACACCACTCCATCCAACCCTTGGCATTGTACTTTGCGCTGTGAGGTTTGCATGCGGCTGCTGAGCCATGGAAACCCATCCCATAATGCTCCCGCCACACAGTTTTTGTGCTGATATTAATGCCAGTGGAAGTTTGGAATCAGCAGATAATTGGCTACTTTTACGCACCATCCACCTTAGCACTCGGTGACCCCACTCTGTCACTTTACGTGCTTTTCCACTTTGTGTTCGAGTTGGCATAGTTCCTCAATGCTTCCACTGTCCTATAATACGAAATATCGAGCAGGGATGAAATTTCCTAAACTGACTTATTGCAAATGTGGCATCCTATCAGCGCACCATGCTTGAATTCATGCTCTTCAGAATGACCCATTTAATTATTTTAGTACAATGCAATGTTTTTATGATATCACATATCTGCATGTCATTGATAAGTGTTATATTTAGTAACCTTTCATTATCACAGTCACATAGCCATGTTGGCCAGTTGAAAGCCAAAGTATCTTTTCAGCTAATCATTTCCAGTGTATCTTGCATAGGATGTCTCTAAAATCTCTTTTACGTAAGCAATGCTCAGGTCAGGTTTACTTTTAATAAACTACCAGTCATTTCGCTGATGCGTGACCTAGTTTAAGGCCGCGTTTCTCGCGCACTTGCTCAGACCATTACACCGGGTCTCAGAAAAGCAGTTCCAGGAGCCACGGTTAATACATGCAAACATTGACAGCTGCCAGAGAAATTAAAATTATGCTTCGTTAAAGAATGTGCAGGTGTGGCGTGAAAGAAATACTGTGACGCACAACACTGTCCTAAAAGAGACCTTTGATCAGCTGAGGTAACCAATGACGTTTCATTTTTGCTTTACACTGATAAATGATATATCCCAGTGTTATAGTTTCATCTACCTATTGTCTTCTTCAGGAAAACACGAAGATCGTTTTGGGGAAAAATAACCATAAAGTTTTATTGCGAACCAAACAAGGTCACATGATTCAAACATTTTACAATTTTACAGTACATTTATAGTTACATATAAGCATACATTAGGTTTTTGTTCCATATACATTAAAACTAATACATAGACCTTAAAATGTACAAACAAACTTAAATAACCTTTACAGTCTTATTCAATGGAATGTGATGTTCAGTTCAGACAAACCGGCCCATTTCTGAGCTGTTACGATTACTGTACATCCTAGAAAGACTAAGGAGGGACAGCGACGCCGTATTCCTTGGTCCAGGTGCGTATCTACAAACTCCAGCAGCACATTCCTCTAGCACCTTCCACTTAAGTCAAAAGAACAAGAAAAACCCACAAAAAAGGAAGTGCTCTTTAAATTAGGAAGATAAATGTGCAACTTGATCCCAGACGCATAACTGAAAGATCACAGAAACATCAGATGCTGATATATTTTAGTGGTTTTAGCGTCATGTTGACTGTACTTTATATCTGACACGGACTGACATGCCAGATCACATGATTTAGATTAAACAAACATGTGTGAAGGGGTAGTTAAAATGAAGGCACATACACATTACACACACATTCAATCCATCCAAAACAATGAAGTCTAGCACAGACAATCCTATAAAAGTGAAAAAGCTGGAAATAAATCTCAAGAAAGGAA